AAAAAAAAAAAAAAAAGCACATAGGAAAGAATAAACCTTGACCGGTGGAGCTGCTCAGCTGCTAGTGGCTAGGATGTTCTTTGAAAATAATAATAATAAAAAAAGATTCTTATATTGAATGGTCAGAAATTAGAATTTTTTATCAATTTATAATACATTATTTTTTTTCACCAAAAATAATATAATATTAAAGTTATCTGCTAAATTATTGTTATTTTTATGAAAGTGTGTTTCTCAATCACGATTGTAATAAAAAATGTTTCAGAAATACAATTTTTCGTATAAAAAATGTGCATGTGAAATACATTTTAGTGTAAAGTTGTGTTTTTAAAAACATGTTTATAATTTGAAAATTAATTTGAGTTATGATATTTAAATAATAAAAAATTATTAAAAAATGATACAGGAAAAATTAATTTTCAGAAAATTACATAATCAGAGGGTGGTCTGGTAATTTTGCACCACTGATCGTGTAATCTCAGCAGATTCTAACCAAGGTTAATTTTGTCCCAAAACAAGTTAAGTAGTGCTGAGCTGTCTTAATCAAGCTCTGCACCAACTTTTTTTTTGGTATTTTGTTTGCTATTACAATTGAAATATTCCGACCAATTTATAATCAGATTGACTAATTTTTTTTTAATTTGATCAAAAATTATTCATATAAAAATTAAAAAATTCGAGAAAAATAAATTTTATCATAGTCTAAAAAATTATTAAGTTTTAAACTAAAATGTTTGAATTTACATTTTGTACATTATAGCCTTGGTTGTCCGAAACCACCTCTCTTATCTCTAGTACTAGTAAATATTAGGTATAATTATTTAATAAAAAAATAAAAAATATGTAAAATAAAATTTATTTTATACCACAAAAGTGATTATATATTATATAATTAACTGATTATAATTTTAGTAAAATTTATTTATTAATAGACGATTAGACCCTCTCTCCTCTCTCTCTCTCTCTCACACACACACGCAAAAATCACCTACGGAACTCTCTGCCTCTCACGCACACACACATGAACATACCCTCCCACCGACCAAATCATATACGAGGCTCTCAAAAAAGCAAAAAGTCTGAGCTTTTTTTAGTACTTCTTTTCTTTTCTTGAAGTCCACTGTTGAGTTGAACCTCTCTATTTCTCTCTCTGTCTGAATTTTCTTACCCATCTGAATCCAATTCCTATATTTTCTGGGTGGATTTGTTCTCTCCTCAGCCTATACATACAGTATCTTGTATCTATACTTCTCTCTTCTTCGTGAGCCTCACCAGCTCCTTGTTTCTTTTCCCTTAATTCAACTCATTCAAACACAGACGACGGCGAAGACGGACGGTTCTTAGCAACTCGTTCGATCTTGTTTTAGTTTTGGGGTTGAATTGTTTTCTGGGGAAATGGCGAAGCGTGGATATAAATTGCGTATCCTTTTGAATCTCGTACTTTTTTTTTGTCAATTTTGTCGAAATGCGTAGCTAAATTGAGCTCTAGTTCTTGAATCTAATGCTGCATGCAATTTGCTCGGCTAATTTGGATTTGGTTTTCGAAAATTCAAACTTTGAACTACTTTTCCTCGGATTTGAATTGGGTTTTCTGTTACTTATATGTGATCTGAGCTGGATTCAGTCGGGAATCTTGAAAAATTTTCTCTCTCTTCCCGGTTTTGTTTGCGGGATGAAGAGAACAAAACAGGAGGAAAGTGATACGAAACCTTGGTTACTTAGTTTGTTTTTATTTTTCCTTTCTGAGTAGTAAATAGTTTGAATTATGCACGATTTTAGTGGGGAGACAAATTCTGAGTTTCAATTTGTTTTTTTTTTTCATAAGTTATTGGATAACAAAACAGGCATAAGACTGTATAAGATTGGAAATTGTTATGTAGAATCATGTATAAGACTGTATAAGTTGTTTATGCTTCTTGAATATGCGAATCTCAACTGAAATGAGCCAAATGCTAAATTGTGCATGGTTGGGTGGGGGCGAAAAATCGACTCTTAGTAAAATTTTATCCTGCTGCTGCGTTTTTCTTGACAATAAATGAATGTAGAGGAGTTCGTGGCACATACGGGAAGTGTCAACTGTGTAAATATAGGGAAGAAGACTTGTCGGCTTTTTATTACTGGTGGAGATGATCAGAAAGTGAATCTTTGGTCGATTGGCAAACCGACATCTTTAATGGTCAGTTCAAACTTCAAAGTTCCAAACTTAGTAATTTTGATTCAATTTAGACTATTATTTATTTAGTTTGGTTGTTATTGGTTTGGCAATTTAACATTTGATGTGTATTGTATTGTATTCACATTGATATATAGGGAAATTCAGTGACAAATAATTTATGGTCTGGGAATTAAATAAAAAAATGCTGGGAATAATTTGGAACAAAAAATTAAAATGAATATGCCATCAAGGAAATTAATGTAATATGCTGAGAAAATCTGAGGGATGTTGCTTCTGTAATTTTTTTTTGTGGTGGTTATGATTTTAGAATTACTTGCAGTATTTGCGATATTTGGATAAAATTTATTGGGTACCTGAAATGCATGTATTTACTATAAGGAAGCAAATAATCCTTGCTTGTTTTATCTGTTTATAGCTGTTTTTTATTATGAGATTTCAGTTTTTGTAGTTTGTTCCACTCCATTGCATCATGAATGCACTCATATATTTTATACACATCTGTTGTGGAAAAGCTACAAGGCCATGGTGGCACACCTTTGGAATCAATATTGCTTTGTATGACTGACGTGTGTAATTATGCAGAGCTTGTGTGGTCATGCTAGTCCAGTTGAATCTGTTGCTTTTGATTCGGCAGAGGCTTTGGCATTGGCTGGAGCTTCTGCTGGTGTGATGAAGCTGTGGGATTTGGAAGAAACAAAGAGTAAGTTGATTTGTTCTTCATGGCTTAGACAAAAAATTAGATTCCTAGATTCGATGCTCTGTTATGTGGTTCTGTGTCTGCTAAGTCACAAAAGAGATGCAGAATAAGTTGGAACTCTTTAGTCTTTATATCTTTAATCTGGTATTATAGTACCGAATCCAAATTCTTATTTGTATAGCATGGAATTGGGTTTCCACTACATACTGTTACCTTGTGTTATTGAAACATTGGGCCTTTGCTTTGTTATTACAATACAAACTGTAAGGTATATAGGCACTTTGACTCCTAATCTAGTTATTATTCTTGAAGTGCAGTGGTGCGCACTCTTAATGGACACAGATCCAATTGTACTGCCGTTGAATTCCACCCATTTGGTGAGTTTTTTGCATCTGGTTCCATGGACACTAATCTAAAGATCTGGGACATCAGAAAGAAAGGATGCATTCACACCTATAAGGGTCATACTCGAGGAATAAGTACTATAAGATTCACTCCTGATGGTCGCTGGGTAGTTTCTGGTGGATATGATAATGTTGTAAAGGTAATACCAGGGCTTGCTATTAGCAGTTCAGCGTGATTTTTAAACTTTGGTCTTGAACCCCTCTTAATGTTTGACAGGTCTGGGACCTAACTGCTGGGAAGCTCCTGCATGATTTCAAGTTCCATGAAGGACATATTCGATCTATGGATTTTCATCCCCTTGAGTTTCTTCTGGCAACAGGTGCGTATGTGAGTTATGTGACATCTGCACATCATTTCATCATCGCACTTTCACCTCCGTTTGGTCTTTTGTGCCTTATTTGATATTCCTTCCCTCGTACTTTCTGTATGAATACTATATTACTATTTGTAATGCTGAAGCCCTAAGACTGACAATCTCGCGATTTATATTTCTGCGATGATATCACAATAACTAGTTAATTATAAAAGAAAGTGAAACAAAAACCAATGCATCCAGGTTCTGGGATTCCTCACATGATGCACCATATAGGGGCTTATCCAGACCTGTATTTCTAAATGAGGATCTTCACAGATGGTTGGACTTAAATTTCAAGGAAACCAAATATTCTATTTGGAAGCCTAAGTCATGCAAGTTAGACATTAATCACAAGTGAATCAATGAATAAAAACATTTCTTGCTGAGTGGTGAAGGTTAACTTGAAGGATGCGGTGGATATTTAGGATTTGTGCCTGAGTTTGGTGGTTTCTGCTACTTTTTCTTGGTTTGGAAGAAGATAGAATGCTGTTGCATCGCGGTAATAATGACTGATTTAACTGAGTGACGGCAGTAAAGTTATCGAAATCTATAATGAGTAATATGGTTGTAAAGTTTGATTCTATATATGCACGAATGTCATTCTATTTTCTTAGAAATAGAGCTGATGATTGGATCCCTATTTGGTAAGTTTTCCTATTCTATCAAAGTGCTTTATATATTGAATTTCGTGCCAAATTTGCCCTTTGGGTTGGCTTGTCCTCCTCACTAGCTTTCTGTGGTAGTTTGAAGTAACCATCAAATGTAATATTCCAGGTTCAGCTGACAGAACTGTGAAATTTTGGGATTTGGAAACCTTTGAACTAATCGGATCTGCCAAAACTGAGGTATATACAACTATTGTGTTTCCCACCTCTTAATTATCAATTCTTGACATTGAAATGCAAATGTGGCTGATTTTGGTATGCTGCCTACTGGCTAATATATAGGTTGTGCTATTGACAATAATTATAAAGGTTTCCTTAATTTATATGCCAAATCTGCTTTTCTAAGCAATAGGAAGCAGGGAAAAAAGGCTGTTGGCTGAAATTACTTTGCAAAATTGCTAGATACAAGGTGGATTCTCCTGCATATTTCTCCTTCCAAGTGATGCAAAAGCCTCTAAAAGGATCTCTTCTTAGCGGCAAAGCGAAAACAATTCTTTCATCATGTTTGTCATGTGTCTCACACTTTTGTCCCCAATCCCCTCATCTAAAAAATAAACACAAAAAACATGGACAAGTAGAAACTCTTACACAGACATTGTTCTTCGTAAGTTGGATACTGGTTTGTCTCTCCTTTTAGTAGAAGAAAACTTTCTTTTTGTGAGTATCCAAAATATATGTGCCACAATCCAAGCAAAGTTACTTGTATGTCTTTCAGGCAACAGGAGTACGATCAATTACCTTTCATCCTGATGGGAGAACCCTGTTTTGTGGATTGGATGATAGTTTGAAGGTGTCTTACTTCTCTGTTTGGAAATTCTATAAGCTTCTTGCTTGAAAAGAATATAGTCTTTACATGTCCATGCCCCTTGACTTCAGGTTTATTCGTGGGAACCTGTGATATGCCATGATGCTGTTGATATGGGATGGTCAACACTGGGTGATACTTGTATCCATGATGGAAAACTTTTGGGTTGCTCATATTATAGGAACTCTGTTGGAGTTTGGGTGGCTGATGTCATGGTAGATAGTCTAGTTAACTTCTATCAGCCTTTTCTTTTTGCATTCTTGGTTTCATTTCCTTTTTTTCCTTGTTGTCCTCTCTTGATTTCCTGTATTTTATCTTCCGGTGTCAGCATATTGAGCCATATGGTGGTGGTTTAGTACCTGACAAAAGTATCCACTCAGAGCAGAAATATGATCTCCAGGAAAGCCCTTTGGATAAAATAGGGGGCCACAGAAGGTCTACTTCAAATTTGCGCTGCATATCTCCCGATTATGAGACTAAAGAGATAAAGAATATATATGTGGACAGTAAGTTGTTATCTTTGTTTGTATCATTTATAAGTTGTAAACATATTGGAACTTACCTAATTTGGCAACTCTTTTAAATACCAACATTTGTTTTGTATCCTGAACCTCTTGTCAATGTAGTCGACAACCAGAGGTTAGCAACTGGATGGTTTCGTCTTGTTTTCTGTTATATGCCACAGATCCCCCCCCCTCCCCCCCAAAAAAAAAAAAAAACACACACACACACAGAGGGAGAGAGAGAATGATATTGTACGATGGATTATTCTGTTCATAACAATGTTGGAATAAGTTTTCAGTTCTTTTGTTTAGGATCTTCCTTCTCTTTTATTACATTCTTTGTTGTTTCTCCCTGATGTTTGCCTCTGGATTTCTGATGACTTGAGGTGAACTTGATTTGTATTTACTATTTAGGTGGTCGGTTAACCTTGATTGATCTGGTTTTGGATCAGTCAAGACAGTTGTAGGCCTGTTTGGCTGGGCAATAGTATTCTATGGCCAGAATGTAAATCACCAAGCTAGCCTAACCTGGAGGATTATTCTAGTCTTAACTGAATTTAGGCCAATCTGAGCTAATCTTTAGGCCTATCCAGGATAAAAAAATTGTGAAGTGATTTTGGGCAGATGAAAGTCAGACAAGATGATTTTTCCTTTGGTGAATGGATAATTGCTCAATATGGGATCTTGTTAGATGCACACCTCTCTGCCCTGAGCATTATTAACCAATTATCTATGTTTAGTTTATTGGTGCATGTCTTTTTCACCCTTATTTTCCACTTTTGCTAATAATTTGGGTTTCATGTAAAGCCACAGGTCGAAATCCTGTTGCAAGAAAATCTGGATCTTTTACTTCTCCAAAGGTTGTCCTCCCATCCGATTTGAAGGACATGAATGATCTGACAAGTCAGAAGCAAAGTCCTGCAGTTGGCTTACGTGCAAAAATTACCGGGCAAGCCAATAGTAAATCCTTCATAATTCCCAACGTGGTACCTCGGGACATCCCTGAAGGAAGAGACTCGACAAATTCTAGAAGAGAATCTATTGTTTCTGTAAGAGCCAGCACTGGAATGCCACTCAAGCCAACTCATAGACGAAGGCCATCAAATACCAAAATTGGGATGGACAGGGTGTCAACCGCTGTTGAATCTGGGTCTTTTGACGATAAGATGAGTACTTCAGACATTATGGATCAGAACTTTCGTAGCAGGCTAGGTGACGACGCTAGAGAATCTTCTGAGGAAAAACATTCGAATATGAAGAATGTTGCAGAGAAATTTGAAACAATTTCCTCACCGAAGACACCCTTTAATCCTGAGATCTGTTAAGTTTTTGTTCTGCCGCCAAAATGCTATCTTGTGCATGCCATTTTATGGGGTTCTATCTGCGTGCATTTATGAAATATATTTGCATACGTGCGCATTATGGTTGTATATCTGTGTTTCTCCTTTTGTTTTGATTTCTAAAAAGAGTTTTCACCTGTCTAATCCCTTCTTTGTTTGCTGACTTTTCTTGCCTGAATTGTTTTTCAGCTCATCACTCTGATTAATAAACCCTTATGCTATCAATTCGGAGTCAGATATAAATCCAGTTTCTCAATTCTGCTTTATTTTGAGCCTAATTTGTTAAATAACACAAAAATGATTGATAGCATCTCAAGCAAACTTATCACTTTTAATGGACATTTTCATTGGTCCTTAATGCAGAGTACCATCTCATGGTCTTCTTATTCGTACCTCCTTTTCCTTCTTGTCAAATTTTTCCTCTTTTATTAAACCCTATTCATCTAACCGCTCTTCAATCCTATGTGCTAGTTATGTCTGCGATAAGTTTTATGAATGCCATGGTTCTTGACCAGCCCAATCAGTCTGACAGTGGGTAAGAATTGGCATACATATGGAAGGGTAGACGGGTTAGAGGTTTGGTTCTTAGGATTGACTAAAAAAAAGGATTATATCACTTCTTGACTGCCCAACATTATTGTACTGTAACTTATGATTGTTCTTATAAGTGTCGGGTATGATTCATACGAAGAAAAGGAATTTGGGAAATACAAGTCGAATCTTTAAGGATGTGTGCATTTTGGGCCACGTATGATTCCATTTTCAGAAATCTATTAACTCTATACTAATAAAGAGGAGGGCGGTGGGATGTAAGATGCTATCAAATTTATTTTCCAGAGACCTTTTTTTCCTAAAGCATTGTCCCCCTTACTTAATTTTCTATCCTCTAGAAAACAAGAAAAGATTTAAAACTTATTAAACCAATCCCCACCCCACCCCCCCCCCCAAAAAAAAAAAAAAAAGCAGGGCCGCCGCTCAAAAAATTTCTCCCTCCCCAAGCTGTTTTTTCCCTGGTAAGATCCTTGCGAAGTTTTGCATCTCCCAGTCTTTGAAGTTTTATAGTTCTCTGAATTTCAATTCATAATGCCTTCAGCATAGTTCTTTGTTTTGACTTATTCATGCTAAAGTTTATACCCTGCGTACCTTCATTATTTCTATGGCTGGATTAGCCTATTATCTATTATAAATCGGACCAGGATTCTCGTTTCTTTGTCTTGTGATTGTCTCCATTTAAAATCTTTATTGATGGTTCTGATGGATGGGATTCTGTATATAGGTACTTACAAATGCATTTGTCTTTTTTGCTTATAAAAGTGTGTTTTCCATATTTTTCAGGTGTTGGGACCGTTGATTGCAGCAAAGCAATGGACTCTGTGAAAATAGTGAATGGAGGTTGGTATGAGAAGCTAAATTTAGTTTAAAGGACACTCTGGATCAGTTCTGACTGTCAGTGCTCACATTTTGGCAGTGGCAATTTTGCAAGGACGAACACGCAGTCTGGTTCAGAGGTTTGAGGGGAGAGAAAGATTGAGCAGCGATGAAGTTGAGACACCTGATCTGACCCCTCACAAAATACCAGAGCCAACTATGACATCCCCTTTGCTGGTACTTTCTAGGCCCCATAGTAATTTCTTGTCATGATGTTACGTTTAAAGGAATATTTAACTGTTGCTATATATTTCTAAATAAATACAGAAAGATGGCATCACGGGATGGGCATGGAAATATACTATCTCATGATATAACATTGATATGTGCGCAATAAATATACTTTGGCTTATATATTTTCCTGCCCTTGTGATTTCTGTTTGCATTGCTTGTTTTAATTTAGCAATTCACAGCAGGCCTTCATGACAAATAGTTATTTCTGAAGTATGTGCTGTAAGAGGGAAAAAAAAAAGGGGCCCTCTAAGCATATTCACCAGAAGTTAGTCCATTACAACTTGTGCTTGGTCTTATGCTGGACATGTTTGGCATTATTCAAAGTGGATCTGAACCATGCTGGTCTTCGAGTCTTGCCTGACGCAAGCACATTCATTTTAGCAGAATGTTTGTGCCGAGTTTTATTGGTTTTTAAAATGTGTGAACTGTAAGTGGTCTGAAGACTGAACACCACTAACTTTCGCATTTACCACAAAGTCCATGGAGACATGTCTAGTGTGTTAAAGTTAATGCATGCATATACTCATCTTGATAGACTTAAAGGAGCAATACTTGAGAAAACCTTTAAACTTCATTTGAGTTTGTGAAAAGAATTTTTTGAGAATGTTGAAAATTTGGTAACTGAAAATATAGATGACTTAAATCGGAAGGTAATATAGAATGACTTGAAGTGGAAAAAAATCTCTTTTTGTGGAATATACTGTCTAAATACAATCATTTACTACTGATGACATCATCATTATTTACCAATTTCACTTATTGATTATCTCTCAAATCATCATAAGTGATCTTGCTGCTTCAGGATAGGCTTCTCTTTCTCAAAAGTAAACATATCATCACATTTGATAGAATAAACTCTGCCAACATTCAACATTATTTAACTGTCTAAAGACAATCATTTACTACTGCTGACGTCATCATTATTTACCAATTTCACTTGTTGGTTATTTCTAAAATCATCATAAGTGATCTTGCTGCTTCATGATAGGCTTTTCTTTCTCAAAAGTAAAAATTTTGTCACATTTGATAGAATAAACTCTGCCAACATTCAACATTATTTAACACCTTACAGAATACCCACCCGCAAAGTACAGAAATGGAGTCTACTGCTGCAAATGATGATGATGATGCTATTGAAGGTTTAATGCGAAATCATGATGTATTCTTAAGTACTGTACGTTCACGCCTGACAAAACTACAAGTAAGCTTTGCTGATAAATGTATAGGTTTTTAATTGATTCTTCGACTCAGGTATATTGAAAGTTCTTCTGGTCTTAGTTTGTCCAGCTTGGCGTGGGCCAGTTTATCTGTAACACAAGTGACCTTTGGAAGCCTTAAATATTCACCTTTCTGAACAGTTTGCAATCTAGAATGCTTTTGACCATGGTATTTCTAGATATTCATAGATGCTTTGGGCATTGTATGTTTGGCAAACTAATTCCACAGAATGGATGAGGTTGCTTGGATCCGTTTTTAGGAAGTAAATGTTCTAAGTTTGAATTTTCTTCCTTGGTGCCATTCCCCAAGATTATCACTAGCATTGTGCAATAAAAAAGGGATGAGCTAATGGGGGGATTGCATGCTATGGAGCGCTAGTTGGGCATTGTAAGAGGCCCACATACCTCCTTGTTAACACCCCCACCCCCAGAAAAAAGACAATGATCCATTTTGATTTTTTATTTTTACGCCCTCTTATGTCAAAATTGTTAAGAGAGTTTGTATCTCATATCGAATAATCATATCGAATAATTAGGACCACAATGGTTGGTTTATATACTTGAGGGGCCGCTTCATCCATTGTTAATTGGTTTTGAGTTTGATACTCTAACATGATATTAGAGCTGGGCCTTGAGTGGTTAGTGGGTCAAGTCTCTTACCCATTTGAATTTCTTGGTATGCGTTGTTATTTGTTTGTTGATCCACGTCACATGTGGAGGGTGTTAAAAGAGCTTGTATCCCACATCAAATAATTAGGACCACCAAGGTTGGCTTATATACTTGAGGGGTCATTCCATCCATTGCCAATTGGTTTTGGGTTAGATGCTCTAACATAAACTAAGTCCTAAAATTTGTAGTGCATAGAGTAATGGATAATATTTGTTCTGATGACCTTGCAGGTGCTGCAGCATTTTTGGGAACGGAATGACATTAAGGGTGCTATAATGGCCATGCGGAAGTTGCCTGATCATTCTGTGGGTATTTATGGAAGGATTTTAAGTCTGTTGCTTTTCTGTTTCCGATGGTTGCCATCAGTAATCAGTTATCCTGCATTTCTAATTTTCTTAAGATCATTCCTTGTTGGTGCAGGTACAAGCAGATATTGTAGGTGTTCTCATGGAGAAAATGGAGATTGTCACCTTAGATTTGTTTTCTTGCTTGCTGCCTGTTCTGTTGGGCTTATTGGATAGCATGATAGAAAGGTAACTATATTATAACTTAGTAGCAAAATTTGAGTAGAATGCATGGACCAGGGATGTCACATTGTCTAGGTTTGGTCTTTACCATTCACATGGGTTACTTTCCTCCAAGTATAGGTGGCTACACATGGACTGACCTGTGCTAACACTATCCTGGTTGTTAAGGAAGCAAATGAGCTTATAGCCTAATAGTATCTTAGAGCTCTAGTAGTATTTAGTAATATGTTTTGGTATGTTAGTATTTCTGCCTGAATTTAATCTGGTTTGAGCTTCCAAACCTGGCCCATTGGCCACATTTTCTTGGAACAGCTTGGATCATCTCCGTGCCCCAGTGTATAACGTTTTTCATTCCTCTTAGGCACTAACCCCCCCCCCCCCTCTTTTCTTTCTTTCTTTCTCAAAAGAAGAAAGAGAATAAAAAACAAAGAAAAAGCAGATTGCGGAGTTGCACATTAAAAAAAATTGAGGATATCTTATTCTGTTCTGAATGGTTGAAATTGTGCCAAAATGGACTATTTTTTTTTCTTGTAAGAAGCAAATGCATTGAGATTTTTATCTTCCTTTTCTCCAAGTGGGAATGGGAAGAGGGAGGAAAATGACTGCTCCTGAGCTCATCTTCTGCCTTACGATGGCTTATTAGCTTGCATCAGATTTATTGGATGGATCATTATGGATATCTGGTTTACATTGCATGCAGGCATGCCAGTGTTTCCCTGGAGATACTACTGAAGCTTGTAGCAGTCTTTGGGCCTTTGGTCTACTCAACCATATCAGCACCTCCAGCTGTTGGTGTCAATCTTCAGGCAGAACAAAGGTATCATTTGTCCACATTTATGAGGACATTTTTGATGACCCTTTTCCTGATCTTTATCTGTTTGGTATTTGTTTTGGGTGGTGTAATGGTTGCGTTCACACGATGTCCAATTGCATTGCTTTCTAACTCATATTGAAGCAAATTTGATCACAGACTTGAATGCTGCAATCAATGCTTCATCCAGCTTCAAAAGATACAGAAAATTCTTCCGGCACTTGCAAGGTAACCGTTGTCATAACTCGACTGCCAGAGAACTTAGGCTGAACATAATGGCTACTTTCTTTGTAATGAAAGTCAAGGATCATGTAGTTAGGCACTTCCATTTATATACATGTCCTTACTTTTGGAACAAAGATGCATTGCATTCTCGTATTCATGCTGGTGAAAATTCTTCCTTGGAAGAGAAGGGCAGGGGTGAGGTTTTGAATCATTCTTTATTGTTGCACGGCTTAACCCCTAATTTTAGCCACCTCTGCCAAGGTGATCAGACTTTCCACCACTCAAGCAAGCCAACACTAAATGCCTTCTCCTCTTTGGTGGCAAGATGGAAGAGTGGCCTTAGCCCCATGGTAGGCTAGTAGTGATGTCATGGCTTAAGGCAGATTTTATCCAGTGTCCCGTGATGCGTGCTTCTGTTAACAGCACGCGTCCAACTCTAAGGATGACCTTAGGCTACATATGGTAGGAAGCATAAAAATTTGGAGTTATAGAATGAAAAGGAAAGGGTGATACATTTCATCTGTTCAGTAAAGGAAAATGTTGTTCTCTGCAGCTGTTCAGTTGAGTTTGAGGGTGAGGAGAAAGGCAAGGTTGATATTTTAATTTACCATTATCAACCTTAGATATTAGCAGAGGGAAGTTGTTTGGTGCAGAAAATATGAAGGTTCACATCTATTTTTTCCTCCTCCATGTCCATTTTAGGATGGATAAAAATTGCTGGGCTTGAAGGAATTTGCTTCCCTTCTTTTTTTCCAATACTCTTCCCCTTTCTTTCTGACCAAGTAGTCGAAGGTCCCTCTTGTTTCCCTTCCCCCACAGCTTCCACTTCTTTCTTAGAGTACTATTTCACATAATGAGGGTTTACAGTTTCCATGTTGTTTGCCTTTTACTCGTGTCTAAAGCTAATCTTCCATCTGTTGTCATCGTTGCAATGAAACTTTGGGCCCGTGGATCAATTGGTTTCATATTGATGTGCATCCAATTGAAGTAGGTCTAGTATGTTGTAATGTTGGTTTACAAAGGTATCTTGGTTATTCTTTTCAGTCATCCTGCAAATTTGCCTAAGAAGATTCATAGGTGTCTTATTAATAGTTTTATTCCATCTCTTTTGCCCATTTCAATAATGAATGGTTACTTGCTAAGTAGTAGTACAGATGGTTAATTGTTATATAGTGTTATTATTCCCCTTTTTTTGCCTCGAATACTGAGTGCGATTCTGGAGCAAAACTTTTAATTTTTTCCCTTTTTTTTTTCTCCGTGTTATTGATCTTGCTGCAGGAAGGGTGGGTTGCTAGCAACATGCGCTCAAGAACTAAATCTAGTTCTTCAGGAATCATAATCCTCCTCACCATGTCCACCGAAGTACCATCTACAACTTGGCTGTTACCCTTCAACAAGATTCTTTTAAGCGACCGCCCTTATTTCACATAAAGAATATCACAATTTTGCCGTGCTTGTTTCTACTTTTCGCTACAATTTGCTACTCTTTTCGGTAGCCAAGCAGTTTGGCTCGAGGGTACTTGCAAAGTGAAGCGAAGAGTACTGCTAGTTCCAGTTGCCACTGCAACTGGTTTGAGAAGGAAGATTTGTCTCCCAGCACTATGACCATTTTCATGGTGCGTTCTTCTTCCTGTGTCTCTGGATATAATCGTATGATTACATAATCTTTGTGACTATATCTGTATGTAATTATGTATGAATCATGGACATTGCCCTTATAAAAGTCACCTGAGTTGTATACATGCTTATGCAATGTTAATGCTATGTAAGCTTCTTAGGTTTGTTCATTTCTTGCTTTACGTTTGGAGGTCGATATGTTCGTTTTTTTAAAAGTAATGCTACATAGACTTAGAATGTTGACTCGATTAATCTCCGTATATAACTGTGGGTCACAATATTTTTTGGGATTAATTATCTATTCAATAATTGTGATTGATTAAATCAACATTTTAAGTTCATGTAACATTTTCTTTTTCTTAATCGGGGTAGCTTGGGAGTTCTTAGTGGTTATTACCTGGGGTTTCAAGGTAAAGTTTCAAAAGAGGCATTTTTGTGGATTTGATATATTTGGTTTGCTGGTGATTGTGTATATCTCGAGTTTATGTCGTATTCGGGATTGGGAGTGTAAATGATGGTGATTGGAATGGCATGATTGAATGCCCGCCTTCTTTGCTGTGGGACTATTTATCGAGCCAAAATGAAGGCTCAGTTTCCTATTGGATTGTCGGTTTTCGAGTCAGCTTGGGGCCATGGGCCGAATGCCGAGCCTTAAAGCACAAATATTTGTAGTCAGGCAAACGTTTATTTGCATTCACAAAAGTCTCTCTCTCTCTCTCTCTCTCTCTCCAAACTAACAATGCCATCATAGATGATCTAACCAACCATTTATGATAGGTGTTAGAATGTGTGATTCATATTTGTTGTGTGCATAATAGTAAGGAGGCAGATGCCGGAGTGGGATTGATATATTTTATGTATGGGGGGATGTTGATTAGTTGGGGGTGCGGGAACAACTCCCCCGCGGTACAGTACAAGGGTATTTTGTAAATACGTCCATACTACGGTTATATAAATATTTAAGATGTAACCCTGTTTTGGATAATAGAAAAAGAACGGCTGCTCGCTCCTGTGGGTGTAGGCACATTGTCGAACCACGTAAATCTCTGTGTTATTTTTTCTTTTTTTTCTTAATTGATTGATTCCGTATTATTCATTATAATTGTTGCACGATCACAACAATAGGGGTGCAACTTGAGGGGATCAACTCGAATTCAACCCAAAAAAAAGGGTTTGGCCTAGAATTTTTAATACTTGGGTTGGATTTGGGTAAAAAATTTTTAACTCGAATTAAATTTGGACAAGCCTTAAGTTGTCGGGTTTAATTCAAATGTATATAAATATATTTAATTAGGATTAATATTTATCTTCACTTTTTAGAGTTTAAACTTTCACTTCACTTTAAGTCTTCACCTTTGTGCCTCAATCACTCTCAAATTCCTCTCTCACACGTCATTTTTTCCTCTTTCAACCTCCCTCTCTTAATCATTATTCGTCTGAGTCATCTCAAATTCTCAACTTCTCAACTCCTCTCTCTTACTTGTCACTCCTCCTTCTCTTACTCTCTCTTTTTTCATCTGCACCTTGCCATTCATTTCAGATACACTTGAGTCAGTATCTATGACTCTAACCCAATATTTTGTAGCGGGTAGAAACCTCAAGGTAATGTCTTGAAGGGGTTGTTATGTCTGTTCGCCTCTGACCATCCTTTCAAATTTTCAAAAGAAAAATAGCTTGTCAAATTGTGCAATTTATTCTTTTAGGAATTCTTAAATTATATTTTAAATCGATTTATGACATATCAAGAATGAGATTTGGGTTTAATTATTCTTTGAATCTAATCTGAAAGTAGCATGATAGATGTATTCATTTGATATCTATTCAATGAATGCAGCCATTCACTTGTCGAAACTCAACTACATAGAGTGGTATATGTAATATAACCATATAGAATTTAGGGTTGAGGGTTCTCAAACCAACTTGTCAATCCAACACAAAATTTGTGTGTATGAGTTTAATTTTAATGAATTTGATTTATAACTAGTTAACCTAACTGACCTATTTAATAAAGAGATCGATTCGAATTTACATATATGTGATTTATATATGACACCGTAAAACCTTTATATATCTATATAATAAAGTAGTTTACAATTCAAATTTAAAAAGATAAACAAAATTACTTTTGTTTTTTGCGGTTTAGATTGTTTTAAATTTTACTTTAAAATTAATCTAACAGCTAATATTAACACTCTAAAAGTAATAGGAAAAAAAGGATACTAAGGTGTGTATGGAGTAACTTTTTAAAAGTACTTTTAAGAATTATTTCTCATAAATATTTTTAAAAAAATAGTGTTTGAAACCGCCCCACCACTATCTCTACCGCCAACCATCGCCACCGCCACCGCCACCACCACTGCCGTCGCAGCACCCCCATCCCCACCACTCTCGCCTTGCCACAACCACCACCACCGCCTCCACCCTACCACCACCACGACCGTCACCGTCATCACAGTCGCCGTCGCAGTTGCCAACACCACCGCCACCACAGTCATTGAACCTACCACAACCATCACTGTTTCCTACCATCACCACTGCTACCCATCACCTCTTACCCGCACTACAATCAATGTTTAAATTCATTTATCTCTCTTCTATGTTTGTGATTTAATTTTGGATATGAATATAAATATATTTATTGTTTACTATTTTTTATTACTTTGTGTCTTCAAGTACATGCAATAACTAGTCTTACTATATCGTATGTGCATTGATTCAATTTTAACACGATCGAAATTTGACACAATATTTAATCAAGATTGTTCGAATAAGAACACTTCAAGAGTATACACACACACACATGTAATTTGGGCATTTACGATTTATAGAAGCAAAAAAATGATATAATGTTAGGAGATAGGGGAACGTAGTAATACAAGGCTCACTATATATATTTGGAATTTATATCTACCTAAAAACTTAAATTTATAGGTAATGAACTCATACATAGTATATTAGAACTTTATAAGCACCTTGTTCAATCACTTTTTACAAGAGCTCACTCTTCTAACAACAAAGACGTGTTTGCTCTTGGCCCGCGTTTCACTTGTTCAGAGGTAGAAAAACTTAGTAATATAAGGGTCAATATATATATATACACACACACATGCTCACCTAAACCTTTAAACTTACATGTAGTGAACACATCGATAGTATATTAAGAAATTTTTATATATTTTTTATCCGATGTAAAATTTTCAATCATGTTTACCTAATGTATAATCACATGATTTTGGGGCCAAGTGGGATTAGCAGAAAGCTGTTTAATCCAGATCATTCTAGAAACCGCAACTATCTGCCTTGTGTATGCATTCCTGAAGTTTTCTCTCTCGTATTATATCATCATCCCTGGGATACTGCAACATTATTTGGCTTATCTGCTGACTTTAACGAAAAGAAAAATATTATTTATACTTAAATTGTTGACTTTATTTACTGATATAATCTATCATAACTATTGAATGGGTTCCACTAATGAAATTTTCTTCTAGCAGTTCTAAGTTGTAACTCAAAAAGTGTTTTCATTTCACATATTTTTTATATAACAAATTTTGTTCTCTCTCTCCTCTCTTTCTTTTTAATTTCTCTCTCTAAAACAGCATGAGAAAACCTCAACGGATCATAGCAAAGTGTTTGTTGGAGTATCAGCCTTGGTTATAGCCTACCCTACTTGCTATTTTTTGCGATGTCCTTGTTGTTTCTCACCCTGGTTTTGACTAATCTAAGGTTTAAATATCTGCATTGAATACTTACATCATCAATAAGATTTATATTTACCTACGCTATGACTAACTCAAACTGCAATTGGTCATTGTGAGCCTCACAACCAAGCAAAAGACTTTCTCAAAGTGACATAAGCTATTATGCCTGCAAAATATAAAACTTAAACCCAGTCAAAAATAATGACTAATGATGGGGACAGAATCAGAATATTTCCTTTCAAGGGGGCCAAAGAGTAGCATAGTCGATAGGTTTAATTATCATGCATGTAGAAACAACACAACTTTTACGATATAATAGAGACTACTCTATTGACATTATGGGATATTTAATAGAGACAACCCTAATGACATTGTAATCCAACACAAAAATTGATTCGAATTGATTTGATGTGAGTTTAGTTTTAATCTGATCAATTTGTATTTGTTTAATTTGTCAAACTCGATTAGGTATGCATGAAATTAATTTTAGTAGTACACAATTCGAATCCAACGAAACAACGTAACTTCTACAACTTAAATGCCCAACACACAAGCAAGACTTATCAAAATCTCCCTAACTTATTGTCACACCTGACCTTGATTCTTCTTCAATGCTCATAAGCTGTAATCCATAATTTTTTTTTTTAAAACATTTGTTTTGGAAAGGGAGGGGCATAAACTATTGACCTCAAGATGATAAAATTTTCACTATATATGGAATACCATTGAATCAAAGGCAATTTGATTACACACAATCTTTGGACTTGAACTGCGGTACTTTAAAAAAAATAGTAAATTTTATTATTTTAATGAGTGTTTTTACAATTTTTGTTGGTCATTTTACAACCAAAAAGTTTATATTTTTTGTGAGTTATTTATCATTGTTGTGAGTGTTTTTACCACTATGGTGGTAATTATTTTTATCACCTTTCTTTGGTATAAAAAAAATTACCATTTTTATGAGTGATTTACCACATTTATAGATATTTTTATCATTATTTTTGTAATTATTTTTACCATTTTTTTCGGTATTACAACAGTGATAAAAATAACTATAGCCGTCGTAAAAATATTCATAAATATGATAAATATTAGTACGATACCAAATTTTTTTTTTTTTGGGTACATAAACAACTCCACAATCTTTGTCAGTCCTTTTACTATCTTATCTATACTTATTAACTACATAATTACTGATAAAAATACCATTGAATTACATGAGGACTAAAAAGAAAAGAAGAGCTTTTATTGAGGGTAAATGCAATTTTTCTTTTTTCTTCTTTGGGTAATAGAATGAAGAAATACATTTTCTGCTACACAAAAATAATCATAAATGACATCCAGCATTTTATTTAAGATGGTATCTGTTGGTATAATGAATTATATATAATAATATAAAAATGTACCAACAGTATCTAGAAAGGCTGCATATCTTTTAACAATTTTACTAATTAAATTTGTTGGCCAATATATTGTTGTGTTGGATCAAAATTAAACCCTTTATGTAACTTTAATCTAACAAATATTTAATAATGTCGATGATAATTTTTATTAGGTTTTTTTGTCTCGATTATGAGTTTTGACTTCACTTCATCGTACTCAACAACGAAATCAAGTGTGTGCGCGCGCGCGCGTATATATATATATATATATACCCTTAAAGATATGCATGTGAGGAGCACTTGATATTTTTTGTCTATTTTAGTGATGGTAGTTATGCTCCGTTTGGTATGATGAAAAAATGAAAAAATAGAAAGTTAGAAGGATGAAAAGTTAAATGGATAAATAAAACATCATATTTGGTAAGGAAGGAAAATAGGAAGGATGAAAAAGTGGATGTATTAATTTTCCTTATAATTCACTAAAATCAATCCCTGTAAAATCGGAAGGAAAATGGATGTAAAGATAATTATTTGTCTTGAAATGTATTTTATTTGTCTATATATAATGTATACTTTAATTTCATATAAACATACAATGATAAAATATGTATTTATATATATTTTTTAAAAAAATATTTTTTTCATATTAATTAAGTGTGAAAATTTTTGACTCAACACGATGACACGAATCGAACTCGACACGAATTTTATTACACGAACTTGATTATAACTCAACATGAACTTGAAAATGACCTGACACGTGAACAAGAAAAATATAAAAGGCTCATAATTTTATGATTAAACACGAATTTGACATGACACAACTCAATTGTCACTCTTATAAAAAAATGAAAAAAAAATTAGTTATTTTTATTTTTCATCCATTCAACCAAACACAAAGGAATGATAGTGTATTATTCTTACTTTCCATCCTTGAAGGATAGAAAACGTATCCCTCCTATTTTTCATTCTTCTATTTTCCATCTTTCCTACCAAACGAAATATTAGTGTCAAAGACCAAATTGACTCAATGCTTGAACTTTGACGATAAAATTGACGAAATTAAAATTTTAGAAACAAAAGTGCAATAAATGGTTAACCTTAGGGACCATTGGTACAATTGACCTATTTTTTTAACTGTTGAGTGAGTGATCAAAACAATATGATAAAACAAAATTTTAATCCACAAAACAAATTAAATTAATTTTTTGGTAGTAGGGCGGCCTGTGTGTAAACATTTATTTGTTCAAAGAAGTAGGATGCGTTTTGTAACGTTTTTATTTTTATGCTTTTTTTTAAAAAAAATAATTTTTTGTTTTTTCTGTGATAAAAATTAAAAATATGAAACATGTTTGGTAGTTATTTAAATTTAAAAAATTGTGAAAACAAAAATAAAAAACATATTTGGTATTATACCAAAAATTCACCACCCATACCACATAAATCTACCACTAAAAATTACTCAACCCTGCATTTAACCATTGAAATTCACCACCCACCACCCCCAAACCACCTGAAACCCACCACTCCCACCCCAAAAATCCACCTTGAGCCCCCCACCCCCCAAAACCCACCCCGCTCCCCCAAAAATCCATCGCCCACCCCGAAAAGCCAACCCAAACACCCTGAAAACCCCTTCTCCCCTCCAAACCCCCCCTCCCCAAACCAAAAAAATAAACAATCCACCCTCAACTCTCGTAAAACCACAACACCCAAACTCTGAAAACCCACCCTGTGAAACCTCCTACCTCCAAAAACCACCTTGAAACCCCCTACTCTCGAAAACTATCACCCCTGAAGTTAGATAGCCTGTCAAAGCTCTTTAACGAACAGGCAGAGCCTTCGGTTGGCGATGACGAAGGCAAAACGGTAGAGCATTCAATTGGGTAGAGACATCGGTTGTAATTTGAGAAGATAGAGGACAGTTTCCTTCATTTTGATTTTTTATATTATGATAGAAAAAGAAAGGTTTTTTGTTGTTAATGAGATTTTAAGTCTAGACCTCATTAAATTAAACTCTATATCATTGGCTTGTTTTATAACATAAATGTTTTCAAAAACATCATTGTAGATGTTTTTAAAAACTGACATTGTTTTCAAAACGGATCAGCAAAAAAAAAATAATTACCAATTATATTTTTATTTATTCAAAAAATTAAAATAAAAAGATGCGGCTACCAAACGCAACCTTAGGATTTGGCGACATTGAGCGCATGCACGCAAAACTCTCTCTCTCTCTGTTTCTCTCTCTCGCGGCTATATATTCGATTAAAACGTAGACGCTATCGACACTTCCCGTCTCAGACTCTCTCATCTCAAATATCGCGCGCGCAAACTTGTATATAAATATCGTTTCCGTGATCGCCGGAGTTGGATACCGATAGACACCGAACATTGCCGGAGCTTCATTTCAGCTGATTTCTCTGTTATGCGTTGATTACTTGCAGCTCGCAATCGTGGAATCAATGAGGTTCCTGATCTTCAATCTCTCTTGTTTTTGTTGTTCAATTGCTGTTTCGTGGAATGACGATTCAATAATAAATCCAGTGTGTGGTACAAGTGAAAAGCAGCAAAATCTCTGTTCAATGGGCTTCTATTTCATTGCAAACTTCCATGTTATAGATCATATAGGTGAAGCTAACTTAATTAACTATTATTGATTGAAATTTATAATACTAATAGTTTTCTTTTTTCTTGTTCAACGGTGTCCATCCGTGCAACTCTGCTAATCCCTCTAGTCTGTGTCCACACAGACCATCTATGTCATAACTAGGATATTTGTGGTATAAATTCCTTATGGTCTGGCTTAAGATGGTGACAAGATTTGAATTCAGGACGTCAAATCTCGTATATGTTTACCACTTGAGCTACCATTGGTTGGCTCTAGAGTTTGTTGGACTTGACCAGAAACTACCTGTTTTTTCCCCGAGAAAATTAATGATATTTTTCAGGGAAATAATTGTGTTTGAACGGAAAAGGGGGAGTTTTTGGAGGGGATGATAAATGGGGAGATAGAAATTTTGGCGAAAAGTGAGGATTGAAGACTTGATTTTTAACTCGAATGTTGCAATTTGAAGCTCTTTTTTGGGTTGTCTAGAAACAAAATATAAATCTATTTTTTTGGGTGAACAATGAAAATCTCAGTCTTGCTGCGTATTGGCAGTTTAGATATGAAAAGCTGGGAGCATATCTGTGAAGTCATAATAATTATGTAGGACCAACCAAAAAACAAATAAAATTGGATACAGAATTAACTCACACAACGTGGATAGCGCCTTTTCTAATGCCGAGTCACCAGATACATACAAGAAACAAACATCAACACTTTTTTTATGATGTCAATTCTTATGGTATTTGAGTTACGACAATCAGATTAAGTTCTTTATCTGTTTGCTTGGTACTAGTTAATTATGGATGTGCAGTTTTTGGTGTTAAAGATCAAGATTGTTCTTCCATCAACGTTGTTTTCTCAGATGGAGCGATATATGCAACATTAATTTGAGCTCAAATTTGTTCTCCATATGTATTTATTAATTTTTCATCTGACTAGTTAATCCTTTGTTCTTGAGGCATGTACTCTTCTTGGTCTGAACAATTGATGAGAATAAATGTCGCTTTTAATATCTTCTATATATGCGCTGACTGCAGTTGTTATGAGAATGTATAAAATCTTGCTTGCCTATGAGGGGATTCAAACCATGGAAATCGCTACTGAAGCGAAGACATGTCTTATTTGACGTGGTAAGGTTTTGTAATTATACTCATTTCTAGTCTTTTTATGCAAAATAGGTGGATAGAAGTTCTGGATACATAGAGGATTTATTCAAATTTAAAACTGTTAAAAAAGGTCCCTAACCTCATGCGCTTGGAAAAGCAGGGAACATGCGGAGTAAAGATGAAACAGCTTCCGTTCATGGGTGTTGTGTGTACAGTTATGTTGTATATTGTCTACAGAACCACAATATCAACAGACAGAGGTATGATAACACAACTAATAACTTCAATGTTGTGACTGTATGTAAGTGGCCTCATGAATATTGGGGAGTCAATTTGGAGATCCTAATACTGTTTTACAAGTAATGCCATAATTATAATTGTGTCAGGATATCTTCGGTGATGGCATTATGTTGCTGTTAACTTGGGTTGCCCAATTTCTTCCGAATTAGAAAAGGCGCCTATGAATTTTCTTTTGTGCTGATGGTTTGCCTGAGAAAAACAATTCTCATCAGCTGTTAGTTTGTTGTTCAATCTAATTTCTTGGTAATACAATTTGAATTGGGACAAGAAAGATCATTTCAACAGCTAACTAGAAGCGGTTTTGTATCCTTTACTGAGGTCCATTTCTTTGTACTTTCCTCTTTGTTCCTTTTATCTTCAATTGCCTGGTGTGTCCACTTATTTGTTTTTTCCCTTTCCGATCATCAGATGGACTCAAGATTGTTTCCCTTTGACACATTAAAGGTAATAACATCAGTTGCAGCATCAGGATGATATCCGTTCTCAATTTTTTTTTTTTGTGCTTATTTAATATCATCCTTTGGCTGAATAATACCTGAAATTTAGAACCTTGCTGTTGTCTTGGATTTACATGAACTGAATTAAATTTTCTTGGGCTTTGTTTAGATGATTTATTATATTTGCATGAGGTTGATTATATAGTGCAAATGTTCCTTACAGTAGTTGTTATTATAATTGATGCCAATGTTGCTCTTATGTACTGTTACTGCTTCTGATGCTTTAATCTAGGAATCAGGTGTGCCTCCCACAAGTCTGGCTGGTTTGCCTCATGTGGACTTAAAGCCTCTATGGTCGCCACGTAGTTCAAACTCAAAGGTTACATTTTCATCCTGTTGTAATCCATAATCAATGTGTAGATTTACTGGCTCGTGTACTTATTTTCTCGGATATAATTGTGCAATCATTTTGAAATGTCCTTATTTGGTCCATTCGGCTTCTTTCAATTATCAGATCAGTGTATCTAGCCCTCAAAACTTGCTGGCAATTCCGGTTGGATTTAAACAGAAGGATAATGTCGATACCATCGTTCAAAAGGTGAAACAGTTTTTTTTTTCCTTCATTCTTGTTTATTTTCTTCTAACTTGATTATTAATCTAATGTTAACATTTTGTTTATTTCTCCTAATTCCCATCTGTCACATGTTAGCCATGTCACGAATACTTGTAAATCTTAAGACGTATCTATTGCAGATCGGAAAGACCTTTTAATTTTACAAGAAGCCCAATGATTTCCAAGTCAATTATTTTCAATATTTGATGGAATTTTTTTTCACTTTATCATCGTGTGTAAAAACGAGTTGAACTCTTATGTTTGCAGCTTTGTGGAAGGAATGGCTCCAGTCTTTTCAAGATCTGCTTGGCATTGTGTTTGGCATCTTATACAGGTAATTGTAGACTAGTTCTTCCTTCCCAATCTCTTATTTCTTAAAAGCTGACAGCTGAGGCTCTCATTTTATTTATTTTCATGGAGATGGAACCAAATGTGATTCGTGTATATCGACATTTTTGACAATAATCTCATAGTTGTCCGTTTGAAGCTTTCAATTGGAATGCTATTGCAACTGATCAACCTGCTTTTAATAATTATGGTTAGAGAAAATTGGTTAACTTCTTAATCATGCTATATTTCATGTAGATTATTCAGAATAAGTACTATGTTAAGTCCCCCTACATAAAATGAAAACCTTTTGTAGTTAGATTTTACCTTTCAAGTGAACACTGTGGCGTTAAATAAGTTTTAGACGGGGATTTTGTTCAGGGAAATTCTATGCATACCAAAACTTTTACTAAAAAGTGTTTTTACTAAATGAGTTGGCAGCTCCATATCACTTTTGGACCCACTAAATGCTAATCAAAATGTTTTGATTGGATATGGAATTGCCAACTCATTTGGTAAAAATAGTTTTTGGTATAAGTTTTGGTAAGTATAGCATTACTTCAGTGCTGAATTTCATGTGTTTCTTGTGGAAATTGACTCGTGATTGCAGGTCTTAACTTTAGAGTACCTCCAGCCAAGTTCTTGAAGTTATAATGATATTGTTGTCATTTTCCCTTTCCATTTTTACTGGAACAAGAAGAAAATGGCCCATTTTGAAGTTTTTATTTTTTATTTTTCCCAATTGTGTTCTATTGAAAAACTTCTACCATATATGCTAGAGTGTTTTTTGGATAAGATCAATTTTGATTTTCAACGTGTTAGAAATCGAGTCTCTAGTTCAATATTTTTGTAATTATACTCTAGTACGGATAAGATGTATAAATTGTATGAAGAGATATCTCCTATTGATCTATCGCTCACAATTTTTTTATTGACTTGCTTTTCTACTTCAACAAATCTTAACAAAGCTGCCTTTTTGTCAGAATGATCTTGTTCGTGGATGGGGAATGGACAAGAAACTTGGGTTTTGTACACAGGTAAGATATATTTGTTCTGCTTTGCAGCACTGTTGATTGTTCAGGATGTTCCTTCTCTTAATGAGCTGTTCTATGAGATGAAATGCTGAAGGTCTTTTGTTAAACTACCGATGGGATTTTTTTTCCTCTTTCAATTTTTTAAGATTTTGAAAGTTTATAGCAAAGCACAAAATGAAATAAAGTATTAAAGTAGATGGCAAAGAAAAAGGCAAGCCAACACTATTGTTACACCCCCCCCCCCCCAACCCAAGATAAACCTCATCACAATCAGAAACACTTTCAACAAATTGTACTGATTGGCATGAATTCCATGTCCATGATCTACTCCTCCAATAGTGGAATTCAGATTCTGTTAATCCAGGGATGGGATCCTAAGTTTCATTACATAAGTGGGGATATTACCTGAAAAAGATTCTATGGTAAGGGTATTAGGTGTTGAAACTGTATTCAGCTTAGATTGTTTCCAACTCAGAGAGCTTCGCTCTTTGTTTTTCCATTGTCTTACACTTGGTGTTTAATCTTGAACAATAGGTTAGGAACATTTTTTCATAGCAAATTATGCGTTCAATTTAGTGACTTCAAATTTTATGTTACGAATTTTCATTTCAGAATAATAAATAGTCGTAATACTTGTGTTTACATTCTCTAATTCTCGATAAAACTTGGCTATTGCAGAGTATACAAACATTGGGTGGGACCTCTGCGAAAAAGGTCATTTCCCCCATATAACCTCTTTATTTCTTGTTTAATTTCCGTTATCAGTTGTCTTCTCTATTTATTTTCTCTGCTACTGTCATATTCCATGCTTACGTGGCTTCTATTGGGTTGGCTTAATTTTTCAACTAGTGTGCCTCTTAAGTGTGTTTGTCTTCCTGTGTTTTAATTTTTTTTTTCTCCAATTAAGTAATCACCGTCTCATGCTGTGTGTGCTGTTTATGCATGTTCTTCGGGTGTATATTAAAGCTTGATTGGGAATAGAATCTTCACTCACACACTGAAATGAAAGTATTGAGGGGTCAAGCCTATTTTTTTTCCGAATGTTATTCTCTCTCCTTTTCTTGCCTAGTTATGAGTTGCTATTGTCACCCTCATGATAAAATTACATCAAAAACTTGAGATACATACAAAAACTTTGATCTTTGCCAAAAGAAAGTGTTGACATTGCCAAATGTGGCCGGTAGTTTTTATGCGAATTATTGGATTTTTCGTTTGTTCTAGAGTCTTGCATCAAATCAACTTCTTGTTGCTTATAATGATCTGGCTGTTGCTTCAATCAAATAGTAATGCAAAGTTAAATAGCTGGTTTAGAGTATCATGGTAGTAGTTCTGAATAGACTCTGGGTTTTGGGGTAAAATTGCCTACATCTAACCCTCTCTAAACCCCGCAACGACGGATAAGCCCTTTTATCTACTTGTTCTCAATATTTACTACATTGTTTTCTTCTGATTTTCAGGAACATACTGTTGATGCACGAACTGAGGTAAGGACCTGCAATATGCTCGCTGCAAACAAGTCGGTATTCTTTCGAAAATACCTCTCAAATTTGGCAAAATGCCAAATCTAGAAAAATTGTATGCTTAATCGTGCCTAATTGTGTGGCAGCCCAAAGGTAAGTTTTGCATAAAAACAAAACTTAGGGCATCCCTTTGAGTTGAAATTTAATTTTGGCTATAGAATTCCCGGTAACTAAATCAAACCAAACTAAGTCTCGTGTGATAATGTTTGGGATTGACTATATGAGTCCGTATTCGCCATTCATTTCGATCATACGTTATACGCACATTTAAGTTAAATATTTTTATATCTTTTCTTATTATTTCGTTCAATGTTAATTTAGGTTTACTCTTACTTCTAGTTTCATTAAGAGAAATTCTATCATTTTTTCTAACCAATGACTCTATCAGCCTACGTTAAGCATGAAGAAACCATCTTAATATATTCTCTCTCAACTTATCTTCAATTGGAGCTATTCTTACCATATCTCTAATATGATCATTTCATATGCTATTCTTTCGAGTTTTTTCACACATCTACCTTAACAATTTCATTTCGTTCAAACCTGTTCCGTTTAAATCAGGGGTGGACTATACGAATTGCACAGTGGACGAATACGGGAATACCCATATAAACCCATATAGAGATGGACCGAAACTCATTCCTGTGCTGCCCCGTCCCCTCTCTGCCCCTCCTCACCCCGGTAAACTCTCTCTCTCTCTCTCTCTCTCTCTCTCTCTATATATATATATATATATATATATATATAAAACAAATCCCATCCACCCACCTACTTTTCATTTATTATACACATTATTTTTATGAGTTTTTATATTTGATCATTTTTTATTTAATGAATTTTTATCCTTCTTATAAATCCATTTGTGAGATTTTATGATTTTTTTTAAAATCATAAAAATTAATGAGGATGATGGCGGGGGAACGAGGATCAAAATTTATCCGCCAGATAAAAACGGGGATTAAAATTTTTACCCTCACGGTCCCCTGGTCCATTGTCATCCCTAATGATCAAATTGCTTACCTTTATTTATATGGATTGTGCAGATTAGGAGGCAATCGACGTCAGAGCTTCGTATATTCAAAGAGCGCTGGGAACAAGCAGTGGAGGAGGACAAAGGGTGGGTTTATCCATTCAGAAGCAACCGAAGATGGAAGCGATGAGGCTTTCAAGGCAGCTGAGTCCTTCGCCTAAGAGGTCCCCACATTAGAAGGGCCCCCAATAAATATTACTTAACTCAAGGAAATTTAAAATATAAAAACTCGTTAAATAAAAATGAAATTGAACTAATTCCAAAAATGTCATAACCAAGTAATGTTTTACAAATATAAATTTTCATATTTGCCTCTCTATTAATGACTCTTTTAAAAGTTGCCACTCTTCTATAAATATAAAAATATTACAGTCACTCACGGTCTTATTTTTTCTCTCTCAATTAACGTTGTAAAAGGCTGCTAAAAGGCTAAAACTACCAAAATTACATACACAAAAATAAAGTCGTACATTCCCATTGTCCTACGCTCTCTCTATTTTTTTTTTTTTTCTGATTAAGTGGAGGTATCTTTTATTATGAAGGTTTTTTTTTTATTAGTTATTATGAAGGTTAGTGTGGATATTTGAATTGTTGAAATACGAAGTTCTTAAGACAGTAACAATAATAGTGAGACAAAAATAATAACATAAGACAATGATATTGAGACAATAACAATAACAACTATAGTGAATTTTTGGTATGCATTTGAAAGTATATCACTCTTATTTTTTATTATTTTATTTTTTTATTCATCCAATCAAACACACCATTAGTCTTTATTTTCGAAGTTATTTGGGCCATTGTTCGAATTTATAGACAAATTGTAAATGTATCTTCATGCTTGTTCTAGTGCTACGAAGCCTCCAGATTACACTCAACAAACTCAATTTAAGCTAGTTTTTATTTTTTTCAATTTGAGATCGATTTTCAGATCCAGAAGTAATTTATCACCTCAATCCAATATTTATAATAATTGAAGATATTTTTTGCTCGACAGCTGAGATCTCGCAAAGCAAAGACAATTTTAGTACCGGAAGAGCAATTCTAGAAGATCAAAAGACAAAAATTTTCACTTTTTTGTTTTTTCGGCAGGGGCGAATGGGGATTTCCAAGTGAAAATTGGAAAAAAATAAAATAAATGTCCCCAACTTCATGGAAAAGACTTAAGGTCGTGTTTTTTTTGCGTTTTCAGAAAATAGTATCTAAAAATAATTTTTGGAAAGAGTTTTAAGTAAGTATTTTTGAAAAATTTTAGATTACAAACTCTGTTTGGTTATATATTTTTGAAAATAATTTTAAAAAATAAAAATTATAAAATCAGTTTGGACAGTAATCACAATTCCCACCTCTCTTTTTCTTTTCCCTCTTTTTGTCTCCACAAAAAACAATCACACACACACACAAAATACACACACACACGCAGACAATATACATGTAGACACACAGATCTGGAGTTGTTGTGCGCGAGAGAGAGAGAGAGAGAGAGAGAGAGAGAGGGAGGGGCTAGGCAATGACGACGCCGGAGAAGAAAAAAAAAGAAGAAGACGTTGGGCAATGAAAATAGAGAGGAAAAAAAAAAGAAGAAGAAGGCATCGGGCAAAGTGGAGAGAGGGGGAGAAAAAAAAAGAAGAAGAAGACATTTTGTTGCTAAGGGGACTCGAAGGACAGACCTCATTTAACTTGTTTAGCTTATCTCTGTGTTTTTAAAATTTTTAAAGAAAACTGTGAAAAAAAGTTTTAGTTGTTTTATGTTTTTGTGCTCTAAATCTCATTTTTTTTTTGAAAATTTTGAGAACAAAAATATTAAACAAACAGTGTTTTTGGTATTTTTAAAATTTTGAGAAAAAAAAACTGTTTTGTAGATGATAACCAATCACGCCCTAAAATTTTTGTTTTTGTTTTTGTTTTTGTTTCCTCCCTGCCTGGATTGAATTTGCACAAATTTCACAGTTAGTTTAATGAAAAAATAAGAAAAATGCAATGGTAGCATGAAATGTGGTGGGTGGAACCCAACTTTCTAATACTATAATCTGTTGGATTAGGTAGTGGAATATAGGACTGTCCAATTGCACTTGGAGATGAAGCTTATAAAAACTTATCTACACTCGACCTGATCATTTTTTTTTTTTTGGGGGGGGGGGGGGGGGGGGTAAGTTGAATGAATTTTTAGGGTTCATGGTAAGAGAAAAAAAATAAAAAGTTGATATATTTTTTTATTGTAAAAAAAAAAGGGGGTTGAGATGGTTTTTTTTTTAGTTCTGGATCATTTTACGTACATTTCGATTAATTTTTTTTTGATCCAATTAAAGATAAATTATCTATACCAAATCTAAGGTGTTGATGAAAATAAATCCCACATAATCTGATTTAAAATAATTATTAAAATTTAAATTTAAAACACCTAAATTTATAATTTGTCCGTTACCGCTTGGACTAAAAGTTTCATATCTCCATCGTCCACGACGTGATTATTGAAACTCTAGAAGGGTTGACCAGGGAAAATCTCATACTTTTTGTTATCGCAAGGCAACCGTGACAGTTTGTATAAAAAACAAATTAACCCATATACACCTTGTTAATTAAACAAATACAAATCATAAAATTAAACCCTTGTTATCTGTTAATTCTATAAAACAACAAATTTGAAATTAAAAGTCTTAATTTTATAAAAATATTTAATCATCTATTAAACTAATAATTAAATAATTTACTGATAAACGAGTAATTAAATAATATATCGATTTATTAAACAAGAGATAAATAAGTTAAGCTACTCCACCCTAATACAACTCATTTATTACGTGTATTAGGCTGGCCCTCTAATTTAATTTATAGATAATGGGATGTGAGTATTTTTCGACTTTAAATTTATAGAAAATTTATTTGACTTTAAATACCACCTCCAAATTTATTCTCCTTTAAGTCTTCTTTTTCATCAAATAGTTATCAATAAGTATATATTTTAAAACATTTTTAAATTCTTTTTAAAATATATTTTATAATTACCCCTACCATAAATAGTGCACACCTACTTGAATGTAAAACTTTCAATGTTTATTTTGATATTCGTATATGTATACACACACACACAGATATATATATGTACATACACACACGTAATACAGTAATATCAAAAAGTGACACGTTCAACAAAAATATAGTAACATCAAACAGTGATACATGCAACAAAAAAAGAGTAACATCAAACAGTAACACGCTCAACAAAAATATTTGTGTTACTGTTTGATATTACTATTTTTTTATTGAGTGTATTATTGTTTGATGTTACTATTTTTTTGTTGAGTGTGTTACTGTTTGATTTTACTCTTTTATTGTTGAGCATGTCACTGTTTGATGTTATTATTTACGTGTATGTATCTATATATACATGAAATTTCAAAATTTAAATAATACACAAATATCAAAAGAAATTTTGAAAGTCTCACGTTCAATTAAGTATGCACTATTTATGATAGAGATAAATGGGTTTTTATGACTTTTTTTAGCATATGTATTTCTATCTCAATTCTGAGAGGACCGGCCTCCCTAAGCTCAAATTAATTTTGTTTTAAAGAGACAAAAAAACAAAAAACAAAAAAAAAAGGATATAGAAAAAAGAAAAAAAGTTCAACTTGGATGGCAGTCATTACCAAAAAAGTCGTCCATTTTCAATTGTAATAAACTGGCTACGGACAAGTCTACTCTCTCTCTCTAGAATTTCTTCCACTTTTTTCTCCCTCATACGTAGTAGAGAAAATTCTCTGTTTTGAATTTCTTCTCTGCCAAACTTTCCTCTCATTCTGCATCACTATTTAGATCTTATATTCGTGTTTTTTCTCTCTGAAATTCTGTGATCTTGAACCCAACTGCTGACCTTAGCTTACTCAATGGCCGGCCGTTACGATCCCAACCCTTTCGCCGAAGAAGACGAAGTTAACCCCTTTGCTGTGAGTTTTCCTCTCTCTCTCTCTCTCTGTATATATATATATTATGTATGTTGTAGTTTGCAGTATCGGTGGATATATAGGTAAAGTTGAGGGTAATCCCGATTTTATCGGTTTCTGGATATGTAACTTCAAGTTGATTCTATAGATTTTTTCGAAATTTCGAAGTTCTTGGGTTTAAGTTATATGATTGGTGGAGCTGTTGAATTGGACTATATGATTGATTATGCAGTTTGGTTGACTGAATTGTTGGATCTGGTTTCTATGGTTTTGGATAGTTTTGAAATTTTCAATTCTCGCTTTCTTTGTTTGCAATTTATATTTTTGTCCTCAAATCTAGTTGACCTTAATGTAAAATTATTGTTGACTCTGGTTGATTCTGGTGTTCAGTGCATTTGTTTGTTTTTCCCTACCAGATTTTGGGCCTCTGTGATAGTGAGTCAGTGAAGCTTCCTTATGTACATAATTGTGTATCTGGTAAAAAGTTCTTTACATTTTTCAAAACATACGTGGAATTAAGGATACATTGAAAAGAAAATTGCTTGAGAAATGTTGGAAGATGTTTTCTTAGGGTTGTCCATTTTGTCTAAGATTTGACAAACCTGTATTTAACTCTCCTATAAGCGGGGAAAAGAGAAAATTTTGGGAAGAAATCATAGCGTTAATGTTTACATATTTCAAATGAATGAGACGGTAGTTATATACCTTGAGAAACTTTGTGATTTTATATGCCATCTTTTGTATAATTCATGGATTAGTTGTGTGAGGGTACTTGTTGGTTTTCAGTAATCTTCTAAAAAATTCTCTCTCTCTCTCTCTCTCTCTCCATATCTGTCTGTCTCTCTCGTCTTTCCCTCTAGTGGTCATTTTGTTGTGCACTTAAGCATGTAGCTTTTGATTAAGAGAATGTTCTACCTAGAGAAAGTTTTGTTGTTGAATCATATTATTAAATGTGGCTTACATTGTGGTTCTCCCCTCTCATACTAAGTACGAGCTCCTTTGATTCTCTCTGTGTTCCCGTATACTTACAACTGCACAAAATCATACTTTGAATTGGTGGAGAAATTGTCACCTTAATTCAACTGAGTTAGTATGTCAAACAGTGCACATTTAGATGTCTCATCTACGAAGGGGCGAGGAATTATCTTGATGATGCTTTATTGACCTTTTTAAGTCGATGGTTGTGTTTTCATATGTGTCAAAGGTGGAAACTATAT